AATTAAATATGAACGATTCCTTTCATTTTTCGTCAAAGAAAGTGCCGGACAACAGAGGTTTACAGTTTAAATTAAAACATGAATGAAAAAGTACACAGTAAATTCAATTTTTATGACAGGATTTCGCAATTCTGTCCACGTTTTCTGCATTGTGGAAATCATGCTATTTTTTTAAAAGTAGATTGTAAGCTGTTCATACCAACAGTATGTGAACATGCCTGTAATATTGCTCTGGCTTTGTGGTCAGCTTTTTTGACAGTGATTTATTAGGTTATTGATTAATGTCATTGTGTTTATTTATGTCAGAGTCAGAGCAGATGACTCACTAAATCTGTCTGGATTTCGGCCATTTCACCACATCCAAACCGATTTATTTCAGTACAAAAATAGTTCTGTTAGAAAGCAATTTCTGTTTCTTTCGTTCAGACAAATCACTCTTTAAATAGGTGAACTGGAAGTCGGCACTGTCATTTGTTGTTGCTTTTCAGCTTGCGGTATCAGGTCGTATCGGAGGGGACATTTGTCATTTGAGGTTTGTTCCGCCGAGTTCAGCTCTGGATGAATTATCTGTGAGTCGTGAGACGGTGACATTTAAAGGCTTGGAGAAACTTTTCAGCCGTATTGATCCGCAGGCGTAAAGGATGGAGATGGATCGGAAGGCGACAGGCAGGAACAGACAGACTCTGGCGTTCTGAAATAAAAGCATTGTTATTATAGTGTGTTTTCTTGACGGGCGTCATAAAGATGGTTTGGTTGTAGAGCTTTTTAGTAGTCATTGCAAAGACAACTGCTTTTCAAAAGCTGTAGCGAAGCCTGCAATTTGCAATGGTAAGAAAGTTCTTTGAAACCTCCGTCGGAAATAAGGTTTGGAGGAAACATCCATCTGCCGATTGTTCAATTCCAATATGGGAAAAAGTGTAACATTAATTTCCAAAAAGAAAGTTATACTCTCAGTTTGTAGTTACTGCTTTCCGGAGCTGCAGATGTAAGGATTGTGCTAGGAGGAGATAACATATCATTGAATTAAGAAGAAAGGTTTGCACAAATGCCTACTGTTATAGTGTTATCTATCTATCTATCTATCTATCTATCTATCTATCTATCTGTCTGTCTGTCTGTCTGTCTGTCTGTCTGTCTCTCTGTTTCTCTGTCTGTCTCTCTCTCTCTCTCTCTCTCTCTCTGTCTGTCTGTCTGTCTGTCTCTCTGTCTGTATCTGATTATATTTAGAAAAATATACAGACAGACATCGGTTTTTTGTTTTCAAAATACGTATTTTATGCTTACCGTTTATTTGATCAAAAGCACAGTAATATTATACAAGCTCATAACAAGTAATATTGTTAAATATAATTACAATTTAAATAACTGTTTTCTGTTCAAATATATTTTAAAATGTAATTAATTTTTTAAAGGGTCATGTGAGACTGACGACTGGTTAAGGCTGAAAATTCAGCTTTGCATCACTGGAATAAATACTATTTTAATATATATTCAAACAGTTATTTTAAATTGTAAAAATATTTGACAATATTACTATTTTTTACTGTATTTGTGTAAATCCTATATGTAATTTAGGAAATAGTGCATTCTTTTTTTAAACATGATTAAATAAAGCCACTGGATTTTTTATTTGTTTAGAAAAATATTAAAATAGTATAGAATATAATAGCACACTGTTAGTATCAAGTCATTATTTACATATGTTAATGTAAACCTGAAGAATGACCCTAAATATCTTAACCCCGCTTGTGGAAATGTTTCTGAATGACTCTATGATGTGGTATTATTATTAAAACAAATGTTATCTGTACTGTCACCTTTAATAACAGCCAGGAGCTGGGAGTCTGTCAACTCTACAATTTACCTGAGACCTTTGTTTCCATGACAACTATAAGCCTCTTGTGCTTTTTCTTCAGTCGCATTGACACTTTAAGTCTAAAAATTGAACATCTCATCAGCCAAAGAGGGTGTTTTTGTAAATGGGCTTTTATTTCACGTGCACAAAGGGTTAAACATTCTTTGTTTGAAAGCTGAAAGAAAAAGGAAGTTTGTTGTGTCGAGGATATTCAGCATCTATAATTTGACCGTCTCATTTAAGGTCAGGTAATGAGATTGTTGCTAGGTGACACAGTTAAACACACAGGTTTCTGACCTCGCCAGAGACTGTAAAAACAGCTCGAGTTGTGTTTGATTTCGTTTTGAGGAAGCAGAGAAAGATTAGAGCTCTAAAAGAAGCTTTATGCAAATTGAAATTAGTCTAAAAGCCATGGATGGACAATAGGATGGGTAAATGTGATGCTGCTTTCAAATCCTCCTGGAAAGTTCCTGTTTAAGTGTTAGAGAGTTGAAATTGTGATAGAAAGTAATTTTGAACACCTGGACAGTCTTTAGTTCTCTTTTCACGTTCCGGCAAGGCTTTTTAGCCCTAGCACATCTAAATGAACAGAAAATGATCTGCTTCAGATTTGTATTTGATGTTTTATATCTGTATTCTATGATTGTTATGCTTTTACTGGGATTGATGAAACATTTCAAGGGATAGTTCACCAAAAAATTAAAATTATGTCATTAATTACTCACCCTCATGTCGTTCCAAAGCCGTAAGACCTCCGTTCATCTTCAGAACACAAATTATGATATTTTTGATGAAATCCGAGAGCTTTCTGACGCTGCATAGACAGCAACACAACTACCACGTTCAAGGTCCAGAAAGGTAGTAAGGACAAATCGTTAAAATAGTCCATGTGACATCAGTGGTTCAATCGTAATGTTATGAAGCTACGAGAATACGTTTTGTGCGCAAAAAAACAAAAAACAAAATAATGACTTTATTCAACAATTTCTTCTCTCCTGCGTCAGACTTTGATGCACGACGGCAGCATGACATTTACCCAAATTTCCATAAATATCACAAACTGTCTCATGTTGTGACATGTCATTTTTGAAGGTCAGCCTCCATATCGTCTTATAATACTCTCATTTTGCACCAGCTACTTGTGGCAATGTTCTCAAATTACTTGTATTTGACTTTCATGAAGCAATTTCAGTTCAGTCTCTCTCTCTCTCAATCTCGTCCTCTCTCATCAGGGCCTGTGATGAGAGCAGAACGTGTGTAATAAGTATTCAGCATTTCTTAATATCGAAAGGATCCATTTCATTAATTTTGAGTGAATAATGTTCCTCAGAGGAATTTCTCAATGAAACATTAGTAGCCTTGAAATCTTAATGCTCTCATTCTTCAATAGCCGAGACGTGTTAGTGGAAGCAATTTTATACTACAGACAGTCTGAATTTAAAGGAAAATGCCCTTCCCTTTAGGTCGACGCCTGAAGGATAATTTTTAACCAACTGAATTGTTGCAGCCTTATATTTAGTTAATCAGTTTACTTTAGTACAAGATTTCTTTATTTAAAGTACACGGTATGGGTACTGACTAAATTGAGCTGATTTATTAATGTGAGGCTTTATACAGACTGTTTAGTTAATCAGTCTACATTGACTCGATCTTACTTGATCTTAAAGGGGTCATATGATGTTGTGTATTTTTTTGTGTATTTGGTGTAATGAAATGTGTTTATGCGGTTTAAGGTTAAAAAAAACACATTATTTTCCACATACTGTACATTATTGTTCCTCCTCTATGCCCCGCCTTTCTGAAACGCGTCGATTTTTACAAAGCTCATCGGTCTGAAAAGTGAGGTGTGCTCTGATTGACCAGCTATCCAGTGCGTTGTGAAAGGCCGGATACCTCAAGCATGTGACGGAAATGTTACGCCCCTTACCATACTGTGATGCCCTATCCGGCCGGAGCGACGAGATAAAATACTACAGCGAGAATAAAAGTTACGCCTTTTTTCTTTGCGTGAACATTTGGGCGGTGTTATGCAAATCTTCCCACATAGTGATGTAGATATGTGGGGGCGTGTTAGAACGAACCGTTTTAGGTAGGCGTGGTTGACTCTTAACTTTTATAAAGAATATCTCTTTGGATTTGAGACTTTAGTCTTTGCAACTTTACAGATCTTCTTTATGCACCAAGAGCTTGTAACACTCCAAAGAGAAAGGAAAAATTTAAATCGCATCATATGACCATTTAACAGCTTATAACTAGACTAGGACCTGATAAATGTATTATTTATACAATATTATAGTGTTTATAAGTATTTTTTAACATTTCTACATAGATTTAGAAACTTGCTTATTTCCAAATGTTTTATGCAACAATCTAATTTTGCACACAGGTTAAATTCGCAACTTTGGATGGAAACCTGGCTATTGCTAGGTCATGTTAGTTAATGCATTCTAACTAAAACAAACTTACTGTAAATTATTAGCAACTTGTTTATTTCAATTAGTTGCTAAGACATCCTTTTAAAATTTTGTAGTTTTCATCTAATATTTATATATTTCTGCTTTATTTCAGTAACCAAGGACAGATTTTAATAGTTTTAGATAACAATAACAACACTGGATAAATGCATGTCATTTCACCAAAAAAAAAAAATACATAATTGTGTTGTACGTTTATGGTACCGTTTTATGGTGTCAACATATGAAAACTAATTCCGGTTTGGCCAGTTTTAATTTTCTAGTCAAAGATCACTATCGCTCACACTTACGGTTAATGTTTAATTGTTATTGCTCACGGCTTTTTGAATTGAACCAACCAACCAAAAAATAAACACCTAAGAAAAAAAGTGACTGTGATGGGCAACTGATTGGCAGTTTTAGTCTCTTTAGGTTGTCTCTTCAAATGTTAGTTTGAAGGTATTGGAAAACATTTATTTATTTATTTATTTGCCTACCATTTAATAATACAAATAAAACTAATAGTAATAATAATATTTAAAATTACATGGCTTTGAGAACACTTTAGCAATTATATAGCAATGCTCTAGCAACAACGGCACTCAGATTTACTTAAGAAAATGTAATGTCTTGTGTATGTCCATATACTGTACTTGATTAAGTCACTCTGCTGTCATTTTGTCTTTCTGCAGGTATCAGATAGTTGTGGAGATCATTCAGGCGACCACCATCAGCAGCATCCCACAGCTGAAGAGACAGAAAGGTAGGATGACTTTCGAACACATCGGCCAATCATGTCTCTTCTTATTTAGGAATACAAACTCTGAGTTGCTGCTTTTTTCCCTTTTTTCTTCATTTGACTCTAATGGTCAAGTTTTCAGGAAACTCAATTTGTGTGCTCCATTTTCATTTTGATGTTTTGTAATGTCCTGTAATGGAGTGTAATGGTCAGAAGAGCTTTGTGATGGACTGCTTGCCAGCAGTCAAGCCAGGGTATTACACCAAATTGAAGATGTTATCTTGGCATGACAACACATGCTGTTAAGCCACCTTATTTGCTCTGCTCTATCATGAGCTATTATGAAGCTTCTGCTCTTCCTGAAAAGAGCTTCTGTAGTCTCTGTGTCTAGCCGCATGCCGCTCTGTGATTGGCAGATGGGTAATTACACTGAAGCTGGTGCGGTGTGTGCTCGAGTAACTCTGCTTCCAGACAGTGGGCTGTAGTAGCCAGTGGTGACATTTACTGTGCAGCCATAAAACACATCAGCTGATACTTACAGAAATCATACTCTCCAATCACTTTAAATGTGTTTTGGTATCCGGTCGAACTCAGACTACTGGGAGGAAAATTAGGAAAAAATTACCAGTTTCTTCTGAATGATTCATTTTTGCCACTTTTTTACAAAAGAAGTCAATTTAAGAGTCTGTTTTTAATAAAAGAACAGTGAAAGGTGGTGCTTTAACTTTTAAAAGTTTGTTTGTCCACCCCAGGAACCAAAGTAAATATGTTTCCCTTAAAAAAGATTGCTTTGTTTATTCAGTTTTAGTCTCTTTAGGTGTTAGCTAGTTTGCCACCAAATGTTAGTTTAAAGATAAACTACTTATTTATTAGTTTTTTTTGTATTTGTGTTTTGTTCGTTGGGTCATTAATTCATTCATTTTTGTTCATTTCTTTTATTTTTTCCTACAATGTTATGGAATGGTCCATTGTGTACTAAGGAGAAGCTCTTTAATTTAATTTAATTTAATTTAATTTAATTTTGTGTTTACTAAGGAAGTAGTTTGTTTATTTATTTATTTTATTATTTTCCTTTATCTTATGGAATGTTCCATTGTGTTTACTAAGGACGATTATTTTATTTTATTTTATAGAATGTTCCATTGTGTTTGCTAAGGAAGAGTTTTTTTTATTTGCTTATTTATTTTATTTAGCAGGGCTGTACAGTGCGACATATATGTCGCACGTGCTACGAAAGTCATTTTATTTATTTATTTTATTCTAGGGGTGCTCCGATTTATCGGCTACCGATCACTATCGGCCGATAATCACGTTGGGATGATTGATCGGCGGT